AAATAGAGTTAGAAAGCATTAGACCGGTAGAATCTTTGAGAACTTTTGAAGGAGTTCTGTGGAATGGTAGAACACTTTTCACTTCAATATCAAAGCCTTTTCCAGCCAAGAGAAGGTTACCAAAGAAAGCGAGGCTAGTTCCTCCATATAGTAAATTGATCTTACAAATGGTTTTTATAGAAGGAAGAATTTTCGTGACTTGAGAAGATTTAGAAGTCTCCATTTGGAGTAGAGAGATACTCGAATTGAAGAAAGGAGGGGATATTTAAAGAAAGAAAAATGAGTATTATATTGACAGAAGCAACAGACAAGGAAGAAGTTGAGCATTAAATGAGATGTATTATCAGAAGAAATCAGATACCTTTTAATAAGAGAGTTAACAGAGATGGATGTTGCAAACAGGATCTTTAGCAACAATATTTTCGAGACTATAGCGGTTCTGTTCATCTTTAAAACAGACCCATAAAGAGATAAGCTCTTGATGCACATGTCCACTGGGATGTGTATCGAGAATTTGTTGGAGGGTTTGATCCAGGGATTCCTTGTTCAAGCCATTCTTAATGAAAGCTATTTTATCTTCTCGATTTATGGACACAAACCCCAGCGATTTGCATCGGGTATCGCAATTCGATCGAGCACATTTATAGCAGCCACCTATTCGTTTGGCTCTACGTTTCTTTGCAAGAGTACTTCTACCCATACCGGATAGATATTTATAAGAATTTGGAAATTCGCCAGAGAGTCGGACGTTTGCTTCAATCAACCATCGGATATCATTTAAAATATTGTGGATCATTAGCACTCTCAATCTTTCCACTCGAGATCGATAAATCCTTTTTATGATATTTAAAGGAAGAAAGGAATATGATTTGCGAATATTTGAAAGTGCCGAATCCATTTGTTGTTTCGAACCATTGTTGAAGAAGACTGAAGGATTAGCGAGCCGCTTTATAGAAGATCGAAGCGTAAAAGGTAAGTTTCTGGAGATAGAGTTTGGCATTATTATATTCCTAATGTCAGAACATGCAGCCAGTATGCAATTAATGCAGCAGAAATCTGATATGAGATGTCGGCAATAATTGAAGAATGAATTATTGTGAAGTTGAGTTGTGTCGAACAACATTATTGAGGTCAGAATAATTCACCTCGATAGGTGAAATGTGGTATGATCAGTAATTTATGCAGTGCAGTAATTTCCAATCAGTTTTAATTGAGAAATATTGGATATATTAAAGTCAGGGGAATATAAGTGTTGATAGTAGTTTTGATCAGTTTTCTGACGCAGAGGCAAGTTCAGTACAGTTAATGATGCTAATGTATATTTTGCAGGTGATATTGACATTGTAGGTACATGCACGTAAATGTTCCGCACCCGAAGGGCCCCGGGTAGTGGGTACATCGCATGCAAAGTGCCACATAGTCATGTTCCCAGTCATAAGTGACAAGTCCAAAAGTGTTTAGCATTACCATCATTATGATGGAAAATGATCATAGAAATAGTTGAG